TGTTCCCTCTCTCGCTGTGTCTCTCTCTGTCAAATAAATAAAATCTTTAAAAAAAAAAAATTAAATACGTAATGAACATGCACTATGCTGGGAACTGGGCATACAGCAGGGAGTATATAGGCAGAATTCCTTGCCTTCATGAAACTTATATTCTGGTAAATACTGACAGGAAATTTTTATGGATTGACTCATTATTAAATAGTTAAAATATGTAGTTTTTTGGCCTGGTAAGGAAAAAATTTATACTTCAAAGTAATTTAGAAGCTAAATTTCAAATCACTTTTATAGTTAAACAGCAGTTTTTAATTGGTAGATAGAGATCAAACAGCAGGAGATGGGTATCTGGAAGTTTGTTGTCTTAATCTCTGTACTTTTGTGTGTGTTAAACATTTTCCATTAGAGTTTCTAAAAACAAGTTTTATTGTAAAAACCAACATCTTAAATTGTTTTAATTTCTTGTGAATCTATTTCTTCATGCTACATGACCAGTTTGTTTCCCTTTGGAGTACTTTAAAAGCAAACTAATTTCATATGTTTTACTGTCTTTCCTACCTTTATATTATACCATGAAAGTAAAATCCTTTATGATTTCTTCTATCTGTATTTAGTATTTTATAGACAGTGTATACTTGGGCCCTTTAGTGAATAATGTGATAAAAATGTTTGAAATGTAACATACTTAATGTAAAAAGAACTCTTGTTTCTATTTCATTAAAAATTTTTTGTGATATTTTTGTAGTCTTTATATTTGATGATTCATAGTACCTAAGAGATAAAGTGACTTGCAGGTTTCCTTGGGTTGCAGTAGTTCATCTGGGTTTACTTACTATTCTTCCTCAGATTTTTGCACTTTGTCATTTTAAAATTTGGTATTTCTCTGAGACTAATAGTTTGTCTGCTTTACTTAACAGAGAACCATAATTTTCAGTGGCATAGAGGTCATATTCCTATACATAAGTAGGTTCTTTTATTATGCAGAAAGTATGATTTGTTTAGTGAACATAATTATTTTTATCCCTAAAATGCTTTAATTCTAAAGAATTCATTAATTTTTATTATTTGTTTATTTATTTATGAAGAAAAAATTGTGACCATTTATTAGAAAGCAGATCACCCAGGGAATAGTTGCATTTTATATTCTCTATTCACAGATAATATATTTATTTAATTACTTAACATAGGACACTTGTACTTTTGCAGTATGTAACTTTCTGTGGCTGGTAACTTGAAGCTACATCAAAGGGGGAAATTAATACAGGAGGAGGTAAAGAAGCAAGTTGCTTTTGGACACTGTGACACACATGTAGCCTGCATTATTATAGCTGTGCTCTGAAATAACCAGTTTTTCCATAAAGTCTTTGAGTCAGAAGCTTTCAGGGAAAAAAAAAAAATTAAGTTTTTTGGGTTAAGAAGTTATTAAGGTCCTGAGAGGAAACTTTTACCCAGAAAGCGTCTTCTCCCTGAGAAGAAACCTTTCTAAAATTATTGTAAGGGCTCAGATTTTATATTTTGCTCAAGGTTTTAGACATCTTGAATCAAAAAGTTTATTGGCCTCTAATGTCACAAAAGCCAACTTGGAACCTTCAAAAAAAAATCCTGTGTTCTTATAGATTATGGATCTTTGACAGTTGTGACATTTGGCTTTGTTTTCTGTGAATATTTTTGTCCTTAGCTTAAAAAAAATCTTTTATATCTTCAGAAGAGCTCTTGACTACACTGTGATATGGCACTTACACTACAGACATATGTTCTTTTAGGATGTCTCTTTTTTAAATTGTATTCTGTACAGGATATACCCGGCACATATATTGGTTCAAATATGTACTTGTCAAATGATTATAATACTGAATTGTTTATCTTTTTGGTAGGGCTTTTCCTTTCTTAATCGATACCTCAGTATACGTGGACCTTGCCAGGAATCATTCTATAATTTGGGCCGTGGCCTTCACCAACTGGGGCTGATTCATCTTGCAATCCACTATTATCAGAAGGCCCTGGAACTCCCTCCACTTGTGGTAGAGGTATTGTATGATTTACTTTTGCTTTTTTTTTTAAAGATTTTATTTATTTATTAGAGCTCGCAAGCAGAGGTAGGGACAAAGGGAGAGGGAGGGAGAGAATCTCAAGCAGACTTTGTGCAGAGCACGGAGTCTGACGTGAGGCTTGATCTCATGACCCTGAGATCATGACCTGAGCCAAAATCAAGAGTTGGTGCTTACCCAACTGAGCCACCCAGGCGCCCCTGTATGATTTACTTTAAAAACTGATGAGTCACTTCATTTCATCTATAGGTAAGTGCAGTTAGCTCATGTCGTAGCCCAGACAGTGAAATAAATTATGTATTAGAATGTATTTTTTCTTTATTGAATGTATTTATGTAATTGGGTTCAGCAACAAGTAGATCTTTGTCATTCTGGCCTTGTGACCTGATCAGCAACCATGTGGACATACACAACTTATGGTTATGACCATTTCAGTTACCTTAAGGTAGCCCCCTTGGTTTACAGGGATGAGCTGGTAGACACAAAGCCTGAGTATTGAGTAATATAGCCATTGTTCATTTTCAAGTTCAAGTGTAACTAACGTATTTCTTTAAAAAGATGAAAGACCAGTATAAATGTAGTTTTGTTTAAGATAATGTAATTCAGGGTAAAGTGTTGCTAGTACTATGATAATTTGTGTTTAAAGTCTCATTCTTGGCTAACAGACACATGAAAAAATGTTCAACATCATTAACCATCAGGGAAATTCAAATCAAAACCTCATTGAGATACCACCTTACACCAGTTAGAATGGCAAAAATTAACAAGGTAGGAAACAACAAATGTTGGAGAGGATTTGGAGAAAAGGGAACCCTCTTACACTGTTGGTGGGAATGTAAGTTGGTATAGCCACTTTGGAAAATAGCATGGACATTCCTCAAAAAGTTAAAAATAGAGCTACCCTATGACCCAGCAATTGCACTACTGGGTATTTACCCCAAAGATACAAATGTAGTGTTCTGAAGGGGTACCTGCATCCCAATGTTCATAGCAGCAATGTTCACAACAGCCAAACTGGAAGGAGCCGAGATGCCCTTCAACAGACAAATGGATAAAGAAGATGTGGTCCATATATACAATGGAATATTACTCAGCCATCAGAAAGGATAAATACCCACCATTTGCATCGACATGGTTGGAACTGGAGGGGATTATGCTAAGTAAAATAAGTCAGTCAGAGAAAGACAATTATCATATGCTTTCACTTATACGTGGAACATGAGGAATAGCATGGAGGACATTAGGTGTTGGGATTAGTGTAAAGCATGAAATCAGCCATAATAGCTGGCTTGCTAAAATGTAACAGAGGCTGCTGGAGGCGAGGGAAGGTTTTGGAGAAGGGCGTAGGCCTTTGGAATGCTGAGGCCTGCGTGACCACTCTGCTGCTGGGATGCCTTGGGGATGCTGGTCATTCCCGGCAATTAGGAAAAGGAAGGGAAAAATGAAGGGGAAATCAGAGGGGGAGATGAACCATGAGAGACTATGGCTTCCGGGAAACAAACTGAGTATTTCAGAGGGTAAGGGGGCGGGGGGATGGGCTAGCCCGGTGATGGGTATTAAGGAGGGCATGTATTGCAAGGAGCACTGTATAGTGACTAACATAATAAGAAATAAAAAAATAAAGTCTCATTCTTACTTTAATTTCTGGAGAAAAATATTGTTTTCATTGTTAATTTTTTTAAGTTGCACTCATAATTCTCACATGCCCTCACAACTGTTTTGTATTACTCTTGTTCAATGTTAGTCATTAAACAAATGAATACATACTTTTACAGTTATGCTGATGAAATATATGCACTTTTGTGTTCTTTATTTCATAAATACCTTAGGTATTGTTCCTTAAGCTTTATAGGTATCATTTTTCATTGTTGCAGATATTTTTATAGTTGACTCCAAAATTTTGTATTGGGGAAGATTTAGAAACATAGATCTAACCTACCCTATTGAGTTCATTGCTTAGCTATTTAAGTAGGAAAAAAGGTGTAATACGCCCCTGGGGTAATATTATTAAATTGGTGTATGCCTTCTTAGGCCTTTCTGCTATATAGTATAGGTATTTTTTTCCCATCTGGTCATTTGTGTTATAATTTATGTCTTTTTTAGATGCATAAGTTTTACGTTTTCTAATGAAATTGTATCTATTGACCTTTTCCTTTATAGTTTCTACCTTTGCTATTATACTTGGAAGGGCCTTTCCTACCCAAGATTATATTATTCAGCTATAATTTTTTTCTTTTATGGTTTCATTTTCTTAATCTTAAAATTCTTCGTCTGGAGTTTATTCTGCTATTGCTTCTGGATGAGACTTTTTAACTTATTGGTTAGACATTTTAAATTATTTAATGATATAGTTATTACAGTGATTAACTGAATCAGCATTACCTAATAAAATTTAGATCCAAGGTATATGCCTAGTTTTACACTTTTTTTTTTAGTATCATGAATTTTAATATTTGAATACTTATGAAACTATTATTTGCCATAAAATTGTCCTGGTTGTGGGACGCCTGGGTGGCTCAGTCGGTTAAGCGGCTGCCTTCGGCCCAGGTCATGATCCCAGGGTCCTGGGATCGAGTCCCACATCGGGCTCCTTGCTCAGCAGGGAACCTGCTTCTCCCTCTCTCTCCCTCTGCTTGTGCTCTCTCTGTCAAATAAATAAAATCTTTAAAAAAAAAAAAATTGTCCTGGTTGTCAGTTTGAAATATAAAACTCATTCATGTATTTTTCCTCCTAGGGTATAGAAGTTGACCAGTTAGACTTGCGAAGAGATATTGCCTACAACTTGTCTCTCATTTATCAGAGCAGTGGGAACATTGGAATGGCTCAAAAGCTTTTGTATACCTATTGCTGTATATAAAGTACCTCAACTGAGAAAGAAGCATTGGTGCTCTGTGTGTGGACCAGTATTTTCTAAGGGCTTATTTAGTATTAACCCCAAACCGGAAATGACAGTTTCAGAATTATCTGTGTATTTAATATGTGATAATCTTTTGATATGGAAAATTATCATTCCTATAAGAATTTGTACATTCTTCTGTCATTTTCTTTTAGTATTTTTTAGTAAAATTGTCCCCAAAGGTGAAATGGAGAATGTTAGCCTTTAAGCCAACTTGGGGTTAAATATGCTAATTTTTTACTCATACCATTTATTCATCTGTGCATTCAGTACTAAACACCTGTGTACCATGCCCTGTGATGGGTGCTTGGAATACAGTAGTAGGGCAGAAGTGACCTCTCAATACAGTTCTTTAAATACACAACTTGAATATATATTCATTTGAAAGAGATGTTTCTGCATTTTCTGCTTACATTATCATGTTGAGTCATCCACTTATTTGTGCTCTGTTGCTATTGCACAGGCAGTTTCTCAACTATATGGAAAAGGAGGTTGCTTATTAAAGGAAAGACCAATTGGGACGCTTTCTCATAGCAACACAATTATGTAATTCACTTGGCTCCTAAGAAAATTATTTGAAGTGGTTATGTGGTAGGAAGACACATAATTGAGTTAATCTTTTACTTTTCACCTGCATATATCTTAGTTGTACAGATCGAGACCTGGGAGGCTGGCATAATTCAAAACATCCTGTTCTGAGGCAGATAAAAAAATGCATTACCAGTGTTGGTGGCTTTCTGACAAAAAAATAGAAAAGACAGGACCACATTCAATAATGTGACCTAGTTTGCATTTCAAGATCAGTAGGAATGTAGGAAGACTAGGGAATTATATGTATGGAATAAAGTATTGCTGTGATAAACTACAAAAAGTAGATTAAAATTTTTTTATTAAATATGGTATGTTCTTGAATCTAAGATAATACTTTTAAGATATACTATTGGTTTACTAACAGCTTTCGAGAGTTTCTTTTTAGGGGAAAAATGCTGTAATAAATGTGCGTGTGGATTATAAGACCCAGTCTAATCGTGGGAGGGAAACAAGTAAGAGACTTAGGATCAAAGAAATACAATGAGGGCTTTTTGGGAATTCTTAACTCCTCTTTATCCTGTATACATAACTTTGTAGTTGAAAAGCAAAATTCATATGTAATAAGTAAATGTATCATGCACTCTGCATGTGTGTATTTAAATGTGTATATAATTTAAATAAATTCTATTTTTATAATTAAAGTTAATTGTTTCACATGCTTATATATTTTATTTCATGCCATTTGCAGGTAATGATAAAGCTAACTGATAGTGTTTAAGTTAGATTTATATCTTTGAATCCTATGGAATTGAGTATTCTATGTTCTGAGTTTTTCTTTTGAATTAAACTCACTGGGCTTTTGGGGCGCCTGGGTGGCTCAGTCGGTTGGGCATCTGCCTTCGGCTCAGGTCATGATCCCAGGGTCCAGGGATCGAGCCCCGCATTGGGCTCCCTGCTCCGCAGGGAGCCTGCTTCTCCCTCTTCCTCCTGCTAGTGCTCTCTCTCTCTTGCTCTCTCATATAAATAAAACCTTTAAAAAAAAAAAAAAACAACTCACTGGACTATGACTCCAGTTGAAGTGCTGAACAGCCTTATAGGAAACAATAAATCTCTCTAGCAGTCTTTTAAGAAAAAATGTTGACATTGCATGAATTTGTTTAGCATTTAAAATCATAGCTACCATTTGCTGAGTGTTTACTATGCTACTGTGTGCCAAGTACAGTGCTGGATACTGTAGATACATTATCTCTGCTCCTCTCAGAGAATCACCTGCAAGGTAGGTGTTGTATACAGGAATATACTTATTCCAATTCAGAGTAACAACAACATAGCAATTGAGCATAAGTTTATTTTAGAAAGAAAAATGAGAATGGCTGTTTTTTCTGTCCTCTAGGCCTTCAGCCTATTAAAAAAGCTCCTGTAGTAAACATCTTTGGAGGTGTCTTTTAAAAAGCTGATGCTCACTTTCTTACCTACCATCCTCACTCCAGCCATGGGATTCTGACAGCCACTTTATACAGTAAGATTTTTTTCTACTGGTCTCTGTTGATTCAGCTGAGTCTCCTAAGCCAAGCTGGGCCAATCAAGAGTTTCCTTGCTCCTTCCCTGGGAATTTTAGAATTGAAATGGAGTTTTTCTGTAGGGTTGGAACATGAGGACAATTTCTGCTTTCCCAATGGGCCAACTAGCAGTTAACCCTTCTGTTGAGCAAGAAAAGTAGAACCTATGCATTAAGCAGAACTGAGATGGAGAGGGAACCCCATGGGTTCCTAGAGATTTTCTAGTTTCCATTCCCATCCTTTCTAAAGCTGTGTTTTTACCCTTGGGTTCTTTGTATAAGATATATCCAATTCTATAATTCCACTGTAAAATTTATACTAGCTGTAGTTTTTCTGTTATTTGCACCAAAAATAGTCCTGATACACTGTCATTCCATTTTTGTTTTCATTTATCCTTCATGCTTTCTAGCTATTTTCACAAGAAGGGCAGAGAGCAAACAAGGACAATGTCCTAGAGTTTTAAGTAGTGTCAAGTCTAATCCACAATGAAGAGGCTTTTAAAAACTTCAGAGCAAGAACAGTAGGAATGTGCCTACTGTCTGGTGGTGTAAAGTTGACAGTAAGACCATAGAATTGTCCAATTTCATGCATAATGGTAGTTAACACTATAAGAAGCACAATACTTGAACAGAACAAGGTAGAAAAGCCTGGAAAAGAAGGAGTTACATCCTGAGGCTATGGTAAGGGAGAACTATAAATGTTTCATCTCTGGGTCCATAGTCCCAAATCCAATTGCTGTTATGTTATGAAACTGCAAATTACAATTTTTGAGGCATTCTAAAGAAGAAAATGATCAAATGAACTGAGTATTTGAAGTGGGAAAAAGGTGGATTCTGGAAACCACTTGAGTATGATGTTCCTGACATGATTCTAGTTGTGTGCACGTAGAAGTGATATTCCGTAGACCTACTCCTTTTCCTTGGAAGGGGACTTGATAGCCCAGAGGACTACTACAGTTCTGGTGTATCTGGATTTCAGAGTACTTGTGGAAGCCTATGTGATACACCTGTGGATTAAATGGAGAAATGTGGCTGGTTGATCTGCCGTGGAGCAATGGAGCGAAGACTGCCTGCAGCAGGAGTCCCCATGATGGCGGACATAGCGCGGCCCTTAACATTCCAGACTTGCTCAGAAGCTGAGGCATAGCTTAAGGCTGCTAACAGCTGAAGGCAGTCAACTAACCACATCCCTGTTTACAGAAACACCACAGAGGTTTCAAGACCAAAAAACTGCCAAAAACCCAAAACAAAGCAGAGATGACAAATGACAAAATAATTTTAGAAGCTGAAAAGCAAATGGGCAATTAGCAAGTAACTTAATAAACCAGAAAAGAATGAAAGCTAAGTGCACACAGGTGGTATGGGAGGCAGCCAGAAGCAAGCTGATGCGAGCCTGAGCGGCTCCTGCATGAGAGACAATGGGTAGCTCCACGGGCAGCTCAGGTGGAGCCGATGAAAGTCTGCTAAGAAGCAGCGAGACCCTCCTAGTTACCCTCTTCATCTAGAGCGTGTTACCACTTCACCCCCTCCCCTGCAGAACGCCAATGGGTAATCTGGAGCAGCCTTATCAGGATCTCTGGATTCAGGAATACCAGGTGGAGCTGAAGGGAGAGTGTTAGGTTGAAAGCAGAGGATTAAGTGAAAGTCTGCACACTGAAGAGCGATCTTGGTCTCTCCTCCTATTTAACTCCCAGAACACGGGCAGCCAAGTTATATCCTCCAAGCAGGGGATTAGAGGGTTCCTTTCTGAGGAAAACCCGGCCCAAGAGAAAAGACCTATAGAGACTGATAGCTGGAGGTCTGCAGGGGAATGGCCTGGTCCTTGCCCAGGGGAGCCTGCCAATGGGCAAACCCCTCCCACCCCACCGAGCCCCAGTCAGCATGTGGCACCCTGCCATTCAGGGGGGCGGACAGCTCAGGAGCAGTAAGCATTTGAGGAAAGCCTCTTTAGCGACAGAGATCCTGATGAGCAAACAGGTGGGGGAGATGGGGAACTCAAAACAGAAATAATGCAGGAAGTAGAGAAATAAAATGTAATTAATATCCCCAGATGAGAAAATATTGTCCACATGGAAAGAGGAATGTATAAAAAGAAATATTCAAAATTAAGAGAGCTTTATGACATCAAAAGTGTAACTGCTGAAATTAATCCAATGGAAAGGTTGGGAAAATTGAATTTTAAAAAGAAAAAAATGGAAAATTTAAGACATGAAAAAATTTCAGATGAGGAAATCAAAGGCTACAAAACAGCCTAAATGAGTTTTTTTTTTAAAGATTTTATTTATTTATTTGAGAGAGAGAATGAGAGAGAGAGCATGAGAGGGGGGAGGGTCAGAGAGAGAGGCAGACTCCCTGCTGAGCAGGGAGCCCGACGTGGGACTCGATCCCGGGACTCCAGGATCATGACCTGAGCCGAAGGCAGTCGCTTAACCAACTGAGCCACCCAGGTGCCCTAAATGAGAAGTTCTTTGTGGCAGTTACCAGAGCTTATAAATTTCAAGGTGTTTGATTGCTTGGTTGTAAGTAATTCCAGTAGGAGGAACAAAACGTCTGCAATGATTTTTACAGTTTTTATTTTTTTTAGGTAGGCTCTATGCCCAATGTGGGGCTCCAACACAACCCCAAGATCAAGAGTTTCATGCTCTATCAACTGAGCCAGCCAGGCGCCCCCTGCAATGATTTTTTTTAATATGCTGTAGATGGCAGTATATTTCTATAAACTTAGAAGTACACTTCATCATTTCATTATCTTAATACAGTTATGCCAGCTTTTAACATTTTCCTCCAAAAAGCTTAAATTTTTTTTTGGATAGAAAAAAGTCAGTATCCTCTATGTTTTGGCAATCACATCCAAAACTCTGTCCCTTTGCATGCTGTCAGCATGGAAAGGACAGCTGGAGCCCCAACGTGTGTTTCTCGTTGCCCATTTTTCTCCCTTGACCAAAAAAAATGTCTGGCAGATAGCAGGGTAACCTCTTCATGCTAAAAGTTTCTAACGACACCCTGAAGATCGTACCCAACATTTACCCTATTGCAGGCTCAAGGTAAGCAAGCTTAGAGAATTAGCAGGACCGCTTGACATTTTAGGAAAGAAAGTCAGGTGTTTATGTTCAGCAAAAGGAGTTCAAACACGTGAAGGGAGGAAAGAGAAAGCCGAGAAACAGGTTCCTCTTGCTCAGTGACCCACAGCTGCCTACAACAGGACAGGTGGAAGTCAGTTCTGATGCCGCAGGTTCTAGGATGTCAGATCCCTCCTTCTCAAGCTCGTGTTGTAACAAAACAAGTAGTGTTTCTCATCGAAGCTTACCTACATACCTAGAGACTGATGAAAGAAGTATTGTTGTAATAACTTGCTTTACAGAATTAGGTCTGTCTTGTTTGGACAGAGACGTGGGGTAAGTTTATGGTGTGAGTGAGGCTGATCTGCCTCTTCTCCATCTCGGGTGCTTCTGTTCGCTGACCAAAGGGAGAGAAAGGTAGCGGCTCTGACCGCAAGGGGGAGGATGCTATTCACAGAACCCTCCAGCCGCACGAAAGCTTGCAGCTGGGAGCATCGAGATCGCCTCCTCATCAGGCCAGGGGAGGCTGCAAAGCCGAGAGCAGCAGTGAGCCCTACAAAGAGGGCGTACACACACACACACATATACATATATCACATTGTCTTTATCCATGTATTGATGGACACTTAGGTTGTTTCCATACCTTGGCTATTGTAAATAATGCCTCAATAAATATAGGGGTGTGTATGTTTTCAAATGAGTGTTTTTGTTTTCTTTAGGTAAATACGCAGAAGTGGAATTGCTGGATCATATGGTAGTTCTATTTTTAATTTTTTTGAGAAACCTCCATACTATTTTCCATAGTGGCTGCACCAGTTTGCATTCCCACCAACCGTGCACAAGGGTTCCCCTTTCTCCACATCCTTGCCAACACTCATTTCTTTCTTTTTTTTTTTTTAAGATTTTATTTATTTATTTGAGACAGAGAGAATGAGAGACAGAGAGCATGAGAGGGAGGAGGGTCAGAGGGAGAAGCAGACTCCCTGCCGAGCAGGGAGCCCGATGCGGGACTCGATCCTGGGACTCCAGGATCATGACCTGAGCCGAAGGCAGTCGCTTAACCAACTGAGCCACCCAGGCGCCC